TTCGTTATATAAATAGCACACGGGAATGGTGTATAAAAGCTGCTTTTCTCGTTGCTGTGACAATGTAAGTGTGGCAGAAACAACCTAAGGGGGGAAGAGTTTGTTTCAGCTCATGTAACCATAATGGCCTCTCTGTGCCCACCCTTGCTCTGAATAAGGACACAGATTTATTATATTTAGTATAAGCTTTGGCACTATAGCCGAGCAGATTCTCAGTTATTCTATCCCGACAACACTCGCCTGGCCTACATCTCGCCACATGGCCCAGTTACCTGTCCATCTTAATCTCGTCCTGGCACCTGCTTCCTCATCCGTGTCCAGCTGGTGACCCTCTCGCCTCTTGTTTCCACCTGAGAACCCTCTTTCAGCCCGGAAGTCCTGCCTTAACTCTCCAGCCTTACTATTGGCCGGTCAGCTCTCTATTTGACCAATCAGAAGGTGATGGAGAACAATGTTTACAAAATATTTAGGCAGGCTTTGCTTCATAATAATGGCAATACCAAAGCCTGCCAGGACAGAAATCAGCATCTGAATAATCAGTCTTTACATAGTTCCTAAAAAGATTTTACCCCTGAGCTCCCATTTTGAGTCTGGCGGGGAAGGTGTGGCAGAGGAAGGTGTGGCAGCGATAACCAGCTAGTTGGAGCCGCAAGAGCGTTGGATGGCTGGTGAGGACACCGCTGTGCTGAAGAACGGTGAAAAGACTGCTGTTGCCTAGTTCCCTTTTTCTTCTTTCCTTTAGTTCGGGATCCCAGCCCACGGGATGCTACTGTGCACATCCAGGATGTCCTTCCCCTCAGTTATAACTCTCAGAAAAGCCTTTCACAGAGAAACCCAACGCGAGGCTCCTCGGTACTCCTAAATCCTAAGGACAATGAAGATCAATAAGCACAAGTTCACCCTTTGTCAATTTAATTCCCAAAATCATCAGCTTTAAACGATAGCATTGCTCGCCCTCCCGGCTCCCATAGACTTACGGCCATTTTGTAACATGCGTTCATTTCAACTCCACAAGTCACCGTATTATTTCTTTTCTGTATATGAGTGTTTTGCCTACTTGTATGCATGTATGTTTGTGTGTATGTTTGTATGTATATCATATGCATGTCTGGTGCCTACAGAGTAAAGAAGAAGGCATCAGATCTCCTGAAACTGGAGTTACAAGTGGTTGTGAGCCATCATATGGATGCTGTGAATCAAACCTGGGTCACTGGCAAGAGCAGCAAGTGTTCTTAACCTCTGAGCCATCTGCCCAGCCTCCAAATCCCCATATTCTTAACAGTCTCAGTGTTGTTCAAAAAGTACAAACGTTCTTCTGACTCAAAGCAATCTCAAGGAAAAGCTGTTACATATTTCCAACACCGTGACATAGAGTAAGCAACTCTATTTTTAGTAGGGAAGAACAAGAGAACGACTGGACCAAAACAAGATACAAACCCAACAGGACAGACACCAAATACTACCTCTCTGTGTGCAGCAACTAAGACTTTCAGGGGCATCAGCTGTGCTCTAAGATGGGCATCCCTCCCCCTGCAGCATATAAGACCTCTCCTTTGGGCTAGTTATAGAATGTATCTACAGCTTTCCTTGTCAGACTTCCTTTGATCCTTTCATTTCTGATGTCCTGGAGTCACCACTGCATGTCAGACCTTAGTTTTGCAGCTTTAATTAGTGACCTCTGAGGGTTTCCTCATAGAGAATTCCACTCAACCACACATTGACCTCAGCTGCTTTCTGGAATCTTGGTACAAGCCTCTATAGCCCCATAAGTCTTGTATTCTGTGTGCTTGCAAAACTAGCACCTTGTGGAAAATCCCACCAAATTCTCCTGCCTTTGTGTGAGTTAATCTGGCCATCTGTGATGGAGTCTGTACCTGGGGCCGCCCCAGGCAGGTTGGTTTGTTTTGTTTTGTTTTGTTTTTACAGCTAATCCCTTCAACCACCTTCCCATTTCAGGCTCCTTGAAATCAGTTTCACTTTTACAAATTGGATCCTTTGATGGGTGAGGTCTTTCCTTCAGGACCTGTGTGCCTTGTTTTCTCAGTGCAGAGCTTCTGGGTCTCTGTTTAATGGCTGCGTTCTTCTCACCTGCCTCATTTGAAACTGTAAATTTACCCGTGCTCTTTTCCTCACCAAACTGCACATTATTTTTTGTATATTTCTGCCCTCATCCAGATCTAACTAAGAGTGGTGAGCAGTAACCAGCCATAACCTGGATGTTATGCTGTTTTGAAATTCACCTAATAAGTGACTTAGTCCATTAATTTTGAATTTAAATTCAAATTAAAAGAACATAGGCATACCAGGCGGTGGTGGCGCACACCTTTAATCCCAGCACTTGGGAGGCAGAGACAGGCGGATTTCTGACTTCGAGGCCAGCCTGGTCTACAGAGTGAGTTCCAGGACAGCCAGGGCTACACAGAGAAACCCTGTCTCAGAAAAAAAAAAAAAAAAAAAACATAGGCAGAGAGCAGCTAGATAAAAGTAACAAACTGGAATCCAGACTCCTTTGCAAATAGAGTTTTTGTTTCCCCTCCAAAACATGAACTGGGCCCCCCACTGTCTGTAATTCCTCTTAGGGTTCTGTTTTCTTGAACTAACACTGGGATGGCCCTTTAAGCTCCACTTACAGCCCTGTAGGACTCTGCTAGCCTAGAGCTCCAAACCCTTCCACAGCCTTCCCACAAACCTGTCCCAAAGCCTTAGGAACCACACGATCAAGCTTGTCACAGCAGCAGTCCCTCATCTGATACAATTGTCTACAGTAGTTACTTTTCTGTAACAAGATGCCTGCCAAGAGCAACTTTAAAAGGGAAGGGTTTGTTTCGCCGTATAGTCTGAGAGTACAGGTGTGGAGTCAGTCACAGCTGCAGAATGAGGCAGCAGCTCAAATGACTCCATCCAGGACCAAAGAGAAGTAAACACTGAAGTTCAGTTTCTTGTCTTTTTTTTTTAAGTTTATTTAGTGTGTGAGCCATCCTATGGATGGATGCTATCCTGACGTAGAGGGTGGATCTTCCTTAGTTAAGCTTCTATGGCACTGCTCTCATAGAGAACCTCAGACATGCGTCCCTAGGTGATTCTAAATTCAGTCACATTGAAAATAAGGGTTAGCCACTTCAGATAGTAGGATGTAGCCATCGAAACAGTTACGATCAGCATCCTGTATTGAACATTGACTTTACCATAATAATTTTGCAGCCGGGTGGTGATGGGCATGCATTTCCTGAATGCATGCCACCTCTTGCAGAGAAGAGATTGGAAGCCAGAGATAAGCAGCTCTCGAGGGATAAAGTCCTAGCATAACAGGGAACTCACAGTAGCTTCTTGAGCTTACAAAACACTTTAATACTGTTTGGGATGATGAGAGTTTCCCCTTTGGTTCTTTTAATCTTGTCTTGCTTTGTCTGAACACTGTTCAGTTTCAGTTTACAAAGGAAGATTCCCCATAAGTCCTCCTTGGTTGATGTGTATTTAGAATCTGTGTTGACCCTTGCACACTTGAAGTTTTATGACATTTTCCCACTCATCTCTTCTACATAAAACTTTGAGGTAGAAACTTTAAGGACTTTTAGACTTAAACTGTGCACCTTTATTTTTAAAATGTAAACCCATTTTTGTACATTCTTAAGTCCTTCTGTGGTCTTGATAACCCAGCTCATTACTGTTAATATTGCTTCTGACATTCCTCCTGTCTAATGACAAGGACTGGTGTGGGAAGGATGTGCCTGTCTTTGGTGTGTCAGCATTTTTGCTGTTATATCTGTGCTGCCTCAGGCTATGATTCAGAATTCTACTTTCTTCTTTTTAAAAACTCCTTTCACATCTATTTATTTATTTATTTATTTATTTATTACAACAACTCCAACAACTGGATATCTACATGTAGAAGAATGAAATGTGTTTCTTCTCTCTCACCCTGCACACAAGTCAATTCCAAATGGATCAGAGATCTCAGTGTTAGACCTGAAATGAAAACTTCTACAAGAAAGAATTAGCCAGTACCTTATAAAAAAAAAAAACCACAATGTTGAATTTGCTACTAAACACATATTTAAAGGAGTGACTCTTGGCACAGATTATCAGGGAGTACGGTGGAATGAGAAGACATGGCTTCTATAGCTAGACTCCCTATATATGATCAGGGAAATCTTATCTGCTCTGTCTACAAGCCACCCTCAGGATCTTTTCTCCAGGTTCACATTGCATGCCACTGCCTTCAGTTGCTTAACTCTACATCTTGCACTGCCTAGCTGAGGAGTCTAGGATGCTTAGGACTCTTGAGGGTGCAAACAAAAACAAAGCAAAGAATTTCCACATGCACACCAAAGCTTTACAAGCCGTGCAAACTTGGTCCTCCAGTTCTACTTGTCAGCTAGCTCCATTTAAAGAAGAGAGCTGTTGGAGCAGGTATTACCCTTCCATGGCCTGCTGGTCTCCTCAGAGCCGATCTGTCACTCAGACTACAGGAGTTATACCACCTGCGCGTAGACTGTCCACCATAGCTGGTTTCTGGAACCTAGTGCCAATTCCACTGTGTGGTGGCTCATTAGACTGTACACAGTGTAGGAGAAATGCAGTGTAAGACCGACCCCCCCCCCCAATCAGGGGACAGCAGTCACAGAGCACAGGTGGCTCCCTGCAAGTGCAGGAACAGGTAAACCTGAGAGTGTTCTTCATCCCTAGCAAACCTAGGACCCCCCACCACCCACGAGTCCACACCTTAAGAAGGCCAAAACCACAAAAGTGATCATCCTCTTAGTACGGGTCCTGTGTGGGGTCATTTGAGGGGCAGAGTCCATGGGAGTCCATTGGAAGCATGGGCTCTGGGACATTGTCTGCCAAGCAGTGTCTGCGCACTGGCCTGAGAGGATGTGCCTAGGATGGGGCCAGTCTCTTGGCTGTTGAGTAGTAAGGATGCCTTTGTTTTGAATGAAAGCCATATGTGACTTAAGTAAACGTAGTAAATCATTTCTATTGTTAATCCGTTGCCTTCGTAGTGTTTACTGAGAAAGTGCTGAAGAGACTCTTCCCTAATGTTTCAAGTGGTCAAGAAAAGGGGACTCCCCAGACTCCAGCTTTGGAGACACCATCCAAGGATGTGACCCCTGAAGCAGGACAGCAGAAGCATGTTCACAGTCTGACAGGTAAGGATGGATGGCAGGTATCCATGTTTCTCTACACCTAACCCTGGAACTGTAGATCCCCTTAGCCTGCGGCCTCCGTGGATGAGCACACTTTTCGAGTCTCGACAGCAGAGTTTTTGGCAAGACAGGACTCACTCTCTACACATACAGTGTGACTCAGTGTTGGGAATCTGGTGTTAGTACCTCCCAGCCGCACACTGAGGAGGTCACGGTGTAGTTCTTGTTGCATTCATTTCCATGTTTTGTTCTGGTAAAGGAGACCGGACACGGGCGGGTTTGGGCTGAGCTACAATTAGAACAGGAGCCTCTGCCACTGTCACCTTGTCCACAGTCATTATACTGACTCCTGACAACCCCTTCAGTACCAATTTGGCTTCTGCCAACTCAGGGAGGGCAGGTGATGCTTCTTGCGCACTGCTCTTTGGCAAATATGCATCCTGGAGAAGTGGGGCAGCAGGAAAGGCTACAGTGAGAGCCCCAACAACTCCAGTTCCCAAGCAGCATAGTTGTTTCGACCTGGGAGACTGTTTGTTCCTCAAAAGACTCCTTAGACCACGTGACGTACAGGCACAGCAGGGGAGACTTCTTTTGTTCCCGACAGATATATAAATACATAAAACCTGACCTTGAACTTACGAATTTTTTGAGATCACTTCTCTGTCATTTTTTTTATATTATTCTTATTCTTTGAAATTATAACTATACCATTTCCTCACTTCTCTTTCCTTCCCTCAACCCTTTCCATGGACCCCACTTCTTGTTCTAGCTTAAATTCACCACCTCTTTTCTTTCAGTGTTCTTCCATGTGGGCTTGGGGTGTGTGTGTGTGTGTGTGTGTTTATGTGAAATGTATGCTTGTGTATAAATAGATATACAGATATATGTGTACATGTATATGTGTGTGTGACATACATGTATACACACACATGTGTATATATTAATGAATATATAAATATAATCTGCTCTGTCCATATATTGTTACCTGTATGTATATGATTTCAGGGCCAACCATCCAGTCTTGGCTAACCAATTGGAGTCTTGGAGAAGATTCTAATTCTTCCAGTGTTGGCTTCCCTTGGTTGCCTATAGTTCTTTGTCTGGGGGCAAGGCCTTGTGAGCTCTGCTTTTACATGTTAACCTGTCATCATTAACCTTAGTTAGGCAGCCACGGTGATGAGACCTCATGGGTGTATCTTCTTTGACATTTCTGGGTGATACAATCTTAGCAGACATCTCCTTTGACATTTCTAGGTGATAAAATCTTAGCAGACATCCTGTTTCTATAGATATTAAAATCCTTCTGATGCCTCTTGTGCAATGATCCCTGAACCTTAGGTGCAAGAGTTGTGTTGTAGATGTGTCCGTCGGGATTAGGCACCACACAGTCTCTTGATCTCTTATTCGCTGCATGTTTTGACCAGTTATGGTTTCCTGTGCTGGTCATTGCAAAAAGAAGAGTTTCCTTGATAAAGCATGTGAGTTACACCCATCTGTGAGTATAAGGATAAATATTTAATGTAGTTGGAGACTGTGCTGACGTGAAGCGGCAGTTGTAGGTTCCTTTCCGGATCCTTGGATTCTCTTGTTCCAGGTAGTTGGCCAGGTTTCCCTCTTTATGAGTGTGTCTTAAGTCCAATTAGAGAGCCGTTGGTTACCACCAAGGTGTGTGTGCCATTATTGCATTCTTAGGGTCATAGTGCCATGGTAGTTGATGTGGTTTGTAGTTGTGATGGGACTATTGGTGGCTTCCCTCCCTTAAAGCGTGTATCAGTCCTTCTGGTACCATGAGAGGTAGTCTTCAGGGAGGAGGTTGTCAGGTCCTTTGGGTCCTGTGTTCAAAGTGCATGGTGTGTTCAGCAACTGGTGTGGTGTGTAATATTAAAAATCAACCCACACTATCACCGGCCACTCTCTGGCCCCAGTAATCTTGCCACCACCATGGCTAACCCCATGTGGCCACCGCCCAACTCAGCCGGTTTGCTTGCTGCGTAACCTCCTCATATTCCCAGCCATCCGCCCCCTGAGGTTAGCTGTCTCAAATCCCCATAACCCAGTAAAATCAAAACTCTAGAGGCTTGTAATTTATCAGTCAGATTTATATCAGTAAATTCTCAACCCACAAAACGCCCACACAATAAACTCAGACCCAAATGAAATTGGGTCAGACCCAAATGAAATTGATACAACTGCCCGCCTAGATTGGACAAATTGTCCTGTATTATTTCATCCTTTCTATGATATTCAAAGCGGCCTGTGGATATGTAAAGCAATGTGGATTGGGTTTGTCCTCTCCTTCCTTCATCTTCTCTCCTTCTCCCTCTGTGTTCCTATCTGTCCCATCTCTAAAACTCTCAGCCCACCTTCTTTTTCCCACTGTCCAATCACAGGCTCTAGCCTTATCTTTTGCCTGCCTCACCTACATATAGACAACAATCCACATATTGGGGCTTAACCTACCACCTCAGGGAGGCGATCAAGGGCAACAGCAATAGCCTATAATATTTTGAGAGCCTCTTAGGCAGTCCTGAACAACAGTTCAAGGGTTTTTCATGCCTGGTGTTGAGGATTTTTGATAGGTAGTCCATGGATCTTGGGGGAGCATTGTCAGCCCAGGTGTGTGTATATGTGTGTGTGTGTGTGTGTGTGTGTGTGTGTGTGTGTGTATGTGTGTAAGTGTGTAGGTGTATAGGTATGTAGGTACGTATAGATTCATATGTACTATATGTAATCTTAGGAAGATATACAATGTTCCTTTGATGTCTTCAGACATCCTGTTTTCTGTTTTACCACCTTCCCTCCTTCTGTATGTGTCTCCTTCCTCCCTCTCAAGTTAAAGCCCCCTAGCTTCCCTTTTTCTGTTTCCCCCTTAAGATCACTTGTGCCTTGCTCTGCCACCCCCCACCCCACCCCCAGGTGTTCCCCCTTGTTTTCTTGGTTTCTGTAGTTACTGCAAGATCTAAACTCACATCTGAAGACTTGGAGCCGGGAGCCACAGATAAAAGAGAACACATGCTATTTGTCTTTCTGGGTCCCGGTTACCTCACTCGATCTATCTTTTCTAGTTCCAGCCATTTAACTGCAACTCTCATGATTTCATTTTTCCTTCACAGTTGAATAGCATTTTATTGTCTATGTACCACATTTTCATTATCCGTTCATCTGTTGAAGAACTTTTAAGTTGTCTCATTACCTGACTGTTATGGGTAAAGCAGCAGTAACCATGGCTGAGCCAGTATCTGTGGAATAAGGATGCCAGGTTTTTTGGGCGTGTGCCACCAATGTAACTGGGTTATATGGTAGATTTAGTTTTAGCTTTTGTGGGGTTCTCCATGCTGATTGCCAACCCCACCATCAGTGAGTGAAGGTTCTTTGTAATCTCACAAGCATTTGTTGCCAGCTCTTTTGTTATCTTTGCCATTCTCACTGCGGTAAGATGAAATCTCAAAATTGTTTTCATTTGCATTTCCCTAATTGTTAGGGATAATGAAATTTTTGAGGTATTTTTTTAGCCATTTTTATTTCTTCTCTTGAGAACTCTGTTCAGATCCAAAACCCATTTGTTAACTGGGTCATTTGTTTCTTTGACTCCGTATTTTTTGAGTTCTTCATACATTCTGGGTATTAGTTCTCTGTCAGATTCATAGCTGACAGAGATCACTATTTTGTGAGCTTCTTCGTTCAGTTTAGCTGTTCAGCAGCTCTTTCGTCCTAGGAGGTCCTACTTGTCCATCGTTGGCTTTAATCCATAGGCAAACGGTGTCCTGTTCAGAAAATACTCCTCTATCCCATATCCTGTAGTGTGCTGTGCTTTTTCTAGCACTTTCAATGCTACAGGCTTCACATCAGGTCTTTGATCCAGTTGGAGTTAGTTTTTGTACTATATGAGAGATACCAGTCTAGCTTCTGTCATCCACTTGTGGACATCCAGTTTTCCCAGCACCATTAATTGAAAAAATATTGTCTTCTTCAGTATATGTTTTGGACATCTTTGTCAAACATTACCGCACAGTCGTGGACACAACTTACACAGTATTGTTGTTTGTGTTTCGGTGGCCCTTTATGTGTTAATGATTATAGCTTAATTTGTTTTTTCTACAGTTTCTTAGCTACAGTCGTTTCCCTCTTCACCCCAAAATACCATTTCCTCTGTTTTCCTTAGACTTGATCTGTGGGATACAATTTTTAAAGGTTGCTTGTATCATGGGAAGTTTTCCTTTCTTCTGTAGCTGCGGCAGGCAGCTGGTACAATAGTCTAGGATGGCCGTCATGGTCTCTTGAACGCATTGCTTGTGCCCAAATTATCAGTCATGGTTCGTTGCCTACCAGACAGCAGGTACCACTGTCCGCACACCTCTCCTCTAGGCATAGGAAACTCTGAACTGTAAGCTTGTTTCTGCTTAAGCAGTAGATGTGTTGGAGCATCTGTGAGTGTGAGTCTTGGTAAGAACACAGGGGTTTGTTTTGTAGGGGTTTTTTGTTTGGTTTGGTTTTTAATGTTTAGGACAATTTGACAAGATTCAGAATGAGAGAATTGGGAAACCATAAAAGCAAAGTTTGAGCAGAACATGATTTGGCATCCTATTCCACACCTACCCATTAAAATCATTCAGCTCTTCAAGTGTGGGGTAAGGGATGATTGGCATCTGGACCGGCAAAGTACAAAGGAAAGATAGCTCGCGTAGCCAGGGACAGGGCAGATGCTGAGAGAGTATCACCTGGAGGTGGTTTGCAGCTCGTAGACAGCCTCAGGTCTTGTAATTGGGAGCCTGAGCCAACTTCCCTTCCTTCTCAAAGATGTGGGAGGAAAGAAGCCGCAGCAGGCTATTATCTGAGCTTCAGGTTATAAATCTGAGCACTCAATATTTGAAACTGGTTTTCTGTGTGTATTCATAGGATGGAATGTTCTTCATGCATTAAAGTCAGGCTACTAAGAGTGTGAGCGGATATTGCTTGATACGAGAGAAACGCCTTCCAACCATTTGGGCAATTCAGATTTTAAT